GTCATATTTCACTCATTATTTCTCCCTGAGCTTGCAGTGGGTTAATTCCCCCATGCTTGTCATCTCCCTCATCACAGAGCACTTGAAAAGCAGCAGCCCGCGTCCCCCTGAGGCTGCAGGCAGGCCGCCACCTCCACTACAGCACCTACTCTGTTGTACGGCTAAGGCAGGAAGGCAGCAGCAGACATGTCTCAGTGTCAGGGTTTACAGCAGCAGCAGGTAGACCAACAATGATTTACCTCGACTCACTGTTAATGTCAGTCTGTCAGGCCTGGATGATCTTATTCATCTGTTTCACAGACCTCCACTGTTGTTCAAAAATGATTAATAACACACAGGGGAAATAACCCTGATATTTATTTAAAGTATGCAGCAATCTTGTGCATGGGCATTTACTTCAGAAAGTTATGTTGTTTGGATGTGGTTTTGGATGTCGTTTGGATATGTCGCTTGGGTGTGAATGTTGAGCTCCAGTTGATTGGTGAATTACCTGTTGGTGTACGTGTGTGTTCTTCGTTTTGGCTGAAGTTGAACAAGTATTTTATTGGACAGGGTGTTACACAAGGCCCAGGCAGCTGGTCCAGCCTTTAATGAAAACACCCCACACTTGAAATCTTAGTGATGGAAGGAGACAGACAGTCTGAAATCATGCCCACTGCAGGATTTCATCTTTGGCTCTCAGTGTCTCCTCCTCATGATGTAAAGTTATCACTGTGTCATGAGGCTTTCCTGAGGTTTAGAGTACCTTTGTTCGGCAGGGGTAGCATGGAAGTCCCACTAGCTCCCAGCTGTTTTATTTCAGTGTTCTGTACGTTAAGTGCCATTTAAAACCAGCCTGTTTTCCATCTGAATTATTAAAGCTCCACCTTCACATGGACACTTCTCACGTTTACCTTCATGCCCCCAGGTACTGCACACTTTATCTGCCTTGCTGGTCACCTAACTGCTGCTGGAGTGCAGTTTAACGTTTGTCACGCAGGCACTGCCACTAGGATAATTACTGTTTAATGCAACTTCTGTACTTGGTGTTTGCACACAGTTTTCCTGCACAATGAAGGATTATTAGAGATATTATAGGTTTAACTTCCAAAAACAGGTTTTGATAATCTGACTAAACTGTTGGCTGGTTTACAGTTTTGTGTTTCTTGTACCCTCATTTATTTTTTTTTCTTTACAGATCTCTTTAATCAATTTTTTTATGAGCTATAGTGACTGCCAGACCTTCCAAATAAGGCCCAAGTAAAGGACCATTTTTCTCAGTGGTGATGATTGTCATAACATAAACCTATGAGACTTTATATGTATTGCAAAAAGAAACAAAATAAGTTTGAAAACTGGACAAAATTTTGTTTGTGGAGCTCACAGCACTGACAACTAGAATCAGAAGTAGCTTTATTGGCTGTGTGTGTTCAACACACAAGAAATTTGGAACCAGTCAGCGTTTGTCATTCTGTTGCTTGCTAACTGGCAGTAATTGATTATCAGAACTGAAGGAAACTAATCTGTCAATTGATTAAGCGACCAGGAGAAATAGCAGCTGCATTTCAAATACTGCATGTTGTTTTTTTGACTGTGTACTTTTTGTGTTTTTGAAGTTACAGTAAATGGCCGTCTATGAAATCTTGAGGTAAGCCAGGAATCATATTTCCTCTCGGAGCCTGGTATTATTCCACGCCGTGGGTCACAGGGTGATTATCTCTTCCTGTCAGGAATGCTGAGAATTTCCTGTGTTTTCTCCCTTTTCCGGCCTTGTTAGTGGTTGTGCCTGAACATGTGACAGAGTCTGGGCCTGGCTGGATCTCATTGACTAGTGAGATTTCTATCACTGTTACCTAATGTTCAGCAAGAGCGTTGAGACAGGCACTGACTTAAAGGGCCATTTTTATAGCTCTTACACCAAGGGCGTAAGTTGAATTGAATGAAATATATTCAGTAGGTAAATAACGTGCACCTGCATGGCGCTCTCTGTGTTCAGGGAGCTTTTGTTAGTCGCTTACAGTAAATGCACCACTCTTTACCCAGAATCCAGTGGGGTGTATCACTTATTAACAGGACCACAGACTATCAGCTAAATCACTGCAGTATTGGTGCTTTACGATGTTATCTGCAGGGTTTAACATGCTGTTGTGTTGCTGCAGTTTGTGTAGTGCAGGTGCCTTTGTACTTAATGGCACATGTTGCATTTTTACATTTAGCGGGCTGATGAAAGCTGCACTGCTATTAAAAAAAAGTTTCATTGTGCTTCACATGTGCCAGTGTGTATGGATGCTGTACACACAGTCATTTGCCTAAACATGTGAACATATGCTGCATGTACAGTATTTGTGCAGATTTGCACAGTCTCCAGCAGCAGTCAGATCTCAGCCATGTTGTTTGTGTCAAAGGGAGAAAGGAAAGCTCTGTTTGTGTAGGGTGGTGATGCAGGAGGGGGTGGAATAAGAATCAAACCCAAGTATAGGCTGTCTCACCACAGTAACTCTCCCAACCCATTCTACGCCCTTCTCTCCCCCTTCCAGCTCCTTTTCCTTTCTCTCCCTTTCATGAACTCCCACCTGCTTTTCAGGGCATTTGATTGATCAGCAGACAAGGCGGGAAAATGTAGGCGGGAGGGGGGAATGACATCAAGGCATTTGGGGCCAACTTTAGGGAGGGTGAGGAATGATTCTGCAGCTTGAAATGTACTATGTTAAAGGGTCCAATCACTCAAACAATAATAAAAATGCATTCAGACACTTTTGGCTTTTTGCCTCCACCCTAATACAATGCACTGAACAAAATATTATTTGTGGAGCTCACAACATTGACAACTAGAATCAGAATCAATGTGGATGTGACATGGTCTTATGCAGCCAGTGCTTTCACTGTTTTTCCCTGTTTCTCTAATCAGCTAAATTCCTGTGATGCTTCAGCTGCCTCTCCCTGTAACAGCAAACATTCAAGTTTGCTTCTATATCCCCAAAGAGAAATAGACTCTCATCAGTTTGTTGTTTTTTTTAGCGGCAGTGAGTAAACGAGTCTACAAGGGTAGAGCATCTCCTGGAGTTCCTTCACAGCATGCTGTCTTCCTTTTCTGTCTTATAACTGTGTTTTTACAGAAGTGTTGCTTCAGGGAAGATCAGTCTGGATCAGTCTGAGCAAATTGGGGGATCATTCCAGGCATCAGTCTCAGAACAGGAGCAGGATGGAAACGGTCTCAGCATGCATAGCTAACTGGCTGCCAGTGTCGCATGGCTGTATGAACACATTAACGAGACAGCAGCAAACAGGGACACTGTGTGGCGGCCTCTCCAAGCAGAGAAGATGATGATTCCAGCTAAAGTCAGCCCATGGATACTTCAAAGCTCTGAACGGATTTGGGATTCCTATACCTAAAGATAACCTCGAAACTGACAGAATTTCTACTTCAGGAGCACCTCGGGATAATTGCACTGTGTGATTGCCTGGAACCGCCCAAATTTTATTTTTATGCTTTCACCAACAGAACATATATACCTTAAAGTCTGTGACAGAACATATATACAGACCATTTGAGTCTGCTTCTCTCCTATGTCGGTGTGAAAGTAGGCCATGGACTTCAGAGACGGTGAAGGAGGAATGATGTAACCAGAGACCTATATGTGTATGTTGTTTTCTCCCTGGAGCTCTGCAGCATTCAGCCACTGATAACTCCTCTTGGCAAGCATTGGAATTTAGGTTTCATTAGTTTCTATATATATAAAACAGAAATAATTTCACAATTCAGCTGATTAAATCATTGAATGTACTATGTGTTTACAGCAATTTTTATTCAGGGTCTCTTTTATATAAATGATAAAATGTTTTCTTTCTTTCACTCCCTCAGTATTGGTATATTTTCCATTCATATAGAGAGTAATCTATTTTGCTGTATTCTAAATTCTTGATCTTAATTAACTGGACTGCCTTCCCAGTGGGTGCAGTGATAATAACTGTTTTTGTCCCTGTGCTCCCTGTTGTATGAACCACTGCATCATTGTGTTGTGCAACATACACGTCAGCTCCTTTTGTCACGATGATGAGGTGATACAAGTGAAACGCAGTCTGTCTGCAGCTCTCAGCGTCTCGTCTGTCTTCTCCTTTCAGAGGACGCAGCTTTTGTTTACAGAAGGGGTTTAAACAGATACGATGCAGCTGACATTAAAGTGAAATGGCACTTAAACAGAATTCTATTCAAGGCTGAATCTCTAGACTAACAGTATATAAACTTGTGCAAGAGGTACTCAGATCCTTTGCTTAAATGAAACTAGAAACACCACACTTTAAAAATATTTTTAGAAGCAAAAGTTCTGCATTCTATGTGTTAAGTAAAGGTTTTTTTGTAAGTATTATTAGTGTTAGCATCAAAGTATAGCCTGTTTAAAGTATTTGGTACTTAAAGTATCAAAAGTCAGACTGTAGCTGACCATTAATATAAAGCCACAGGCAGCAGCCAGTTAGTTTACCTTGGCACAAAGTCTTGAAACAGGGATAAACAGCTGATCTGCCTCTGTTCAAATACTAAACATGCACCTACCATCATCTCGAAAGCTCACGAATATAAAACAAACAAACTAAACTGGCTTTGTCGGGCAAATAATCATATTTCCATTAAAGCTGAATTATGTGTAACATTTTCAGTGCAGCACTTCAGCGTAATAGGATTTTAATAGTGTTGTATTGCTGCTAAAGTAAGGGATCTGACTACTTTCTACACCACTATACCTCTCTGCAGGTAGCCCTGGCTCCAGAGCTCTTCCCTTCTGATGTGCAGTCATCAGCCACATCAACCTACCCAGTGTTTGTTTGTTGTTGTGTTTTGCTGCTTTTCTTCTCTCTCTCCTCTGTCCACTCACCCCAACTGGTCGAAGCAGAAGGCCGCCCTCAGAGAGCCGGGGTCTGTCGGTGGTTTCTTCTGTTAACTGAACTGAATTGAATTGAACTACATGCAAAGCAGCCTGTCTGATCATGCTTTCTCTGTCTACTTTGGCTGTTATCTCTTTCAGTCTCCCAGTCCAACAGCAGCCTAAAGAAGCACCGGAGCCGGAGCATTTTCAGTCCTTTTTTCTGCTGCTTCCGCAACTACAATGACTACCACGTGGAGCCACCGCCTGCCAACAACAAAACACTTTGTCTGCCCCCACCACCGGAGGAGAATGGAAGTCCTCCCAAGGTGAAACCCATTTTTTTCTTACATTAGAGATGGCCAGAGTCCAAACTGCATACCTTTTTCATCCATGTGACCAGAAAGCACTCAGGGAATTAGTTAATGATTTATGGCAGAAGTCGTAGCTTGAGATCTAGTAGTGGAACATTTGTTTGGTTTTGTTACAGAAAGCTTGTTAGAGTTTGTCTTTTCCTGCAGAGAGCTGAGGCTGAGGTGCTGTGCAGCCATGCTGAGCTGTGCACACAACTCTTTCCAGCTGCTTCAAACCCGTTGAACCTAGAGCTTGTTTACCATCCACTGATTCAAAATACACACTCCCTTTCCATCTTGCAGACTTCAGTATCTGCCTGTGCATACAAAATAACACACAACAACAACTCACAAACACTTGCTCGTTCTTTCTGGCTCATGCTCGCACAAACTTGCACAAGTCCTACTGTACCATAGCCCCGTGACAACAGAGGTACATACACACACTCATATTGCCGCTTCTTTAATTCCCATAAAGTGGCCTCTCTGTGTGTCCTGTGTGATGGATTGACCGGCACCCACGCCTCCCCCTCTTTCTCACACATACTCTGACCAGTTTAATGAGGATGTGTGAAGCAGCGAACACTCTGGAAAAGATGCCAAACCCTCAGCCTCTCCACACACACAGTGTTCAGCTGCCAAGCCAGGTACACAGTGCTATAAATGGAGTGGAATAGTCACACATTCCCACTCCTGTTTACCTGTAAATGTCTCTCATCCAGGGGAGGAATGTGTGGCCCTGTACAGACACACTATGTGGTCAGTGCTGACCCGCTTTGGTCTCCTTCTTAACAAACAAGTTTGCATTAATTTAGAGTGAACCTGGTGAACCTTGCTGTAAAAAGCCTTGTTATTGTGAGGTTGGTTTTTGTGCTGGGTCCTCGCTCACAGTCGCTCCCAGCAGTGTACTGTTGCTGGATTTCTAGCCAGTCGTATTTGTTACTATGGCAGCTCTGTTTGTTTTTGAGCGAGTTCTCACTTTTTATCACTCTGTGTACTACATGTCCCTATTTCTCTGTCCCTGCTTCCTTCTCACTAGAGTTTTCATATGTTGCCTCCTTGTTACTTTTTTTTCTGGTTGTCTCTCTGTTGCTTCCTGTCTGTTTATTTTCTATAGTGTGACCAGGTCCGGGGGGTATTGCACAAAACCAAGCCAGGATTTTCCAGTTACCCCGGCTGAATTTAGCCCTGCCTCACTTGCAGGAAAGCAGGTTAAATTTAGATAAATTAAGTTACTATGGAGATTTATTCTTTGCAGCTAGCCTGCTCCAGACCAGACTAACAGCCAGGTGTGATTAATCCTGGAGCCTTATTTGTCCTGTCAGCAATCACTCTGATCACAAACCAATGAATTCTTTTACAGCTAATCAGTAAAATGTGTCATTGTTATTGATTGCATTCATGAAGACTGCTGTTCATATTAATGTTAGTTTGATGAATTTTATATCACTATACTGCTCCACTTTAATTCAGCTTTTACAAAAACGGTTCACTTAAGCTATTTTTAAAATACTACAACAACCAAAATCACAGAACAGTAACATATCACGTTATCAGTGCAAGCTTCCGCAGAGTGACACCATCCTGCAGGCCATAAGTGCTTTAAGTGTTTCTGTAGAGTCACCTAGAGCTGCCAAATGATCATCTCCAACACTCCAACTGAGCTGTCATCACACCCTCAATATGCTGTGATTTGGGGTGTGTGTGTATGTTGGGCAGTTTGTCTACTTAACATCTGTATACAGAACATAATGTTGTAACGGTTTTGTGTTGTCTCTGCAGGCTCCAACCAAGTTCCTCCTGCCAGAGGTCAGTATAGCAGACGACGGCAAGAACTGTGTGGTGATCGACCTGGATGAAACCCTCGTACACAGCTCCTTCAAGGTATTTCACCACACCACCTCTCTAAATACTGTACAAAACATTATAGTATAAAGGCGTGTGTTCCTTTTTCATCATGTCAGTTGTGTCGTGCTGTTGCCTCAGAGGGAGAAGAGGATTATATACAGAATAATTCCTGACGATGACATTCCTTACTGTGAATACGGTTTGATGACAGTTAGCATGAGGTGTTGCTGAGCACCATCAGAAAGACTGCAGTACACATAACCACAGGGAAATGTGTCCCTTAGGATATGCCAGTTATACACAAGTTAAAACAGGAGAAGGCGAGAAAGAGATACAACTATTACTAAAACAAGATGTTGGCATGGCAACCAGTACGTCCTTTGTAGCTGTGCATTGTGCAATTGATCAGCGTGCCAGGGATTTTTCTACTATCAGTTCAGTTATTTGGCAGGTGGTACCTCCAGTATCATCTATGCCTGATGAATACCATGTACACTAGCTCCAAAATACAGCCCTGCTGAGTCGGTACTTTGAGCTAAAGGTTGATACTTGAGATAAACTGCGCCTTGCAGCACAGGGCAGTGACAAATAACTTCAAGCAGGTTCAAGCTCCAGCAATAAGGGGCCACACACAACTAGATTCTCACCCACACACAAGGGTGTGTTCATTACTGTTTCCTTGACTTGCAGCTGTATGATTTTTGCAGGAATCCTAGATCTGTTCTAATAATAATAGTAATATTTAGATCAGAGATCAGTATGTGGTATGAAATGGACTCAGGGAATGCAGTTAACTCAAATCAGCCAAAATAGGAAGAGGGTGAAACAGAAAGCAACACACAGGCAGCAGTTTCAGTTCTGTTCAGAGCCTTGCAGGATTTCCTGTAGATTATGCTTCCTAGAATTGGAGTTTGGAGGTTATTTTAGATCAGAGTATTAAAACATAACATACAGATTAACATTGTGGGAAAAAACAAGCACAACCAACAGGAGACATTTCACACAGATGCACAGATGGATGTAGACTAAAAGTGAAATGTTACATAACACATCATACACTCTATGCATTATCCTGTATGTAGTGGAGCAGACAGTAGTTTCTGGGCCTGCTCTGGGATTAAACATGGTACATGTTAAACTATATATAATAATATTAGTAATGTTTATTTAGATAACATTAGAAGAGTGCCCCAGTTGCTGAATTGTTCCAATGCATGCCACACAACGTCCGTGATTCGCTTCTGGTTGGAGACTTCCCTCGCATGTTGTGGCCCCCACTTTCTCCTCATGTTTCCTAGATGCAGTCTCCTGAAATAAAGGCAAAATACCAAAAAACAAAACAAACAAATTTTACAAAGTGATTTGCCAGAAGAGCAGTAGGCAGAGGCCAAGCCTGTCTCTGCATCTCTTCCTCCATCTGTGTTTCCCTCCGCTCTTTCTCTTGCTGTTCTGTTTGTGAAAGTAGGAATAATGATACATGCTTGTTCTGTCTGCCTCCCGTCACTGCTTTGGCTCAGTACTGGCACAGTTTTCAGACAGTCAAGGCTACAGTTCTTAATTTACTGGTGCAAATATTAACCAGATCTAAATGTCGCACAGCTGATTTACTGAAGAACCCATGGTCTTTAGTAGGTCTGTAGTTATATTGTCATTGTCGCCACCATATTATACACAGTATACAACTAAGAACTTTCCTCAGGTACAGTTTTGAGGCCTTTGTATTTTACTTTAGTTATTTCATACTCTGACTTCATTACACTTCAGAGGCAGATACTGTACTTTTTACTCCACTACATTTATTTGAGAGCTTTAGTTACTTTTGCAATGAAATGCTACTTCTTTTCTGCCTACAACAAACTATAGACCCAAGTCACATCCAGGCTCTTTTGGAAAAAACTTAATTTGTGATTCTGAATACACAGAGGAACATTTTATTTCACCTGTTTCTTTCTCTCCCTCTCTGAAACAGCGCTGCTGTGCTTCTTACCTAATCCTTTCATCTTCGTCTTTATCTCTTTTCCACCCACGCTCCTTCAGCATCTATCTTCCTGTACCTCCCGCATCTCTCCTCTCCTCTATCTCACTTTAAGGGGTGACACAAGCTTCAGCGTTCCTGCTGTCTGCATTCACTTCTGTCATCTTATTCAGCTCCAAGGCCTCCCCCCAGTGACTCTCTTCTGGTTTTTACTCAGCACTGAGGCAGACAGCAGAGGGAGCCACATTATGTTTAATCCCTCTGTAGTTTGCCTGGGGTGCCTTACAGGAGTGTTTTACCTTTCTCTGTTTCTTTAGGTCAAAACTGTGGGCATGTGGTAAGGCTCTACTGCTTTGTCAGATTGTGCTGTTTAGAGTGAAAAGTAGCACAACTGTTGAGTCCTTTCTCTGATTTGTATTTTCCTGCAGCCCATCAACAATGCAGACTTCATTGTTCCAGTGGAGATTGATGGGAACGTTCATCAGGTAAAACGGGGCACGTCCAGAAGTGGATTTGAATAAACTAATATGTATTAATTTATAAAGACTCAATTTTCTTTTTTTTTTTTTTGGTATTCTGTATTGTCTCACAACTACATCGAAGCGGGACAAGCTCCTCCCAGAGTTTAGTCTTTGTGTCTTTGGAGTCCTTGCTGTGGGGGCTGTGATATGACTGTGTCACCAGGTTAACAAATGTCACAAGGTGTCCTGAAGGTGCTGCTGAATACACAGCACAACAGATGCCTCCCTGCATAGAAATGTGTCTGTGTGTGTGAGAGAGAGAAATGACAACAGAAACTAACGACCAGAGGGACTCTGTACACCTGCTGTGTGCTTATTTGTGCACACTATATTCATGTTTGTTTTCTGTGGCCTGAAAAAGATGAAGCCATACTGTAGCTGTAACCTGGTTCAAGTAATCCAGGATAGGCTTTCTGTACCTGCTTTGGCCTATGCTTGATTACTTGCGCTTGGGGGCAGCAACTAACCCACAGAAGAGGACGAAGACGAGATGAAACGACAGATACGATTACAAAGTAATACCTGTTTTGCCAAAGAAGCCAAAGTTGTCACATTTTTATTGATGTCTAAACAAAAGCAGCCCTACGTGAACTAAATAAAGTAGTCTCAATATCAAGAATTGTGAATTGAATAAAAAAAATGTAAAATGTAAAATTAAAAAAACAAAAACAATAAAAAAGTACTTTTAAATGTAATTAAAATTTAAACATTTCCAAAGCATGAGAATTGGATTTTAAACATCAGGAATTGTGTATAGTTCCAAACAAACAAAAAAGCAGCCTTTGCCTTACATATACTCTTTTTAGCAATAAATATGGCCGTTTTGCACATGTCCTTTTTTAGGGTAACCAGGGATATTTTGGAAATCAAGTAATATTTGATGTAACAGGTATGAGAAAATATGAGCACATCTCTCCAGTTTTAGCTTCCCTGCACTGGTTACTTGTTTATTTTAGGGTTCATTACAAAATTTTACTTTTTGTTTTTAAATCCCTTCATGGTTCTGCACCACCTTATTTATCCGAATTTCTTCACTGGCACACACCCACATGTTCTCTGAGGTCAGCCAATCAGCTTCTTTTGAGCATGCCAAGAACAAAGCGTAAGCTTAGAGGCGACCGGGCCTTTGCGGTCGCAGGTCCCAAACTTTGGAATGATTTACCGCTGTCCATTAGACAAGCTTCTACCCTGTCTGTTTTTAAGTCCCTTTTAAAAACTCATTTATTTTCGTTGGTGTTTTGATATTTTATATTGCTGTTGTTTTTATTCATTTTATTGATTTATGTTTTTATTTTGGCGTTGATTTTATTTATTTTTATTGATTCATGTTTTTATATTGGTGTTGATTTTGCTTGTGCTTGTGGGTTGTGTTTTTAATATATATTGTTTATTGATAAAGTTGGTTTGGTATGGTAAATTTCATCCTAAACTTATGATTAACTACAAAATACATTTTGTTAGACTTCTAAAAGTATCAAATATAACAGCTCATTTCAGTCATAAGTGACATTGCTGAGGTTTTGGTAGCATTTACTGTTTGAGCTGACAGCAGCCTCATAACCAATAAATAATTCAAACACCCAAAGCTATTCAAGACATGAGTAAACTTTGATGCAAACACACCATAACAATGCGAAAAAAAGGGGATCAAAACCTATATTGTTGTGTCTTTGGTCCAGGTGTATGTGCTCAAGAGGCCCCACGTGGACGAGTTCCTCCAGAAGATGGGAGAGCTCTTTGAGTGTGTCCTCTTCACTGCAAGCTTAGCCAAGGTTAGGTCAAACACTGTAACACTAAGATGACAGTCACAGTAATGTCTCTGTCCGCAGAATATGTGAGCCTGATTTCTGGTTTCAGTATGCTGACCCAGTGGCAGACCTGCTGGACCAGTGGGGGGTATTTCGCGCTCGGCTCTTCAGGGAATCCTGTGTTTTCCATAGGGGAAACTACGTCAAAGACCTCAGCCGGCGGGGCCGAGAGCTCAGTAAAGTCATCATAATAGACAACTCACCTGCCTCCTACATCTTCCACCCTGAGAATGCAGTAAGTCATTTGTGTACCTGATTTCAAACAATAGTGATTTTGACCTAAAACCTGAGCCTGAGAGTCCTTTTATTTGACCCAGGAAAAAGGAAGGTTACTGCTTCTGTTTATACTTAAGTTGCAGAAATTCCTCAAATTTCACTTGAGCTTGAGGTATTAAGAAATGATCAAATCGTCAGAATATTGATTCATAGTTTTCATTTACAGTGTTCTTTTTGATCCAGAGGTAATGTTCCTAATTTAGTGACACTTCCCTCCTCAGTGGAGAAGTTGCTCATTGGAGCTGCTGCCATTCGTCCTGCTTTTGTTGCATTCCCTTCATTAATTATTCACACAAAACTCGCACCAGCTCCTCAACTATGCAGCACTTTAGCCTCGACTGTTCTTTAGCCTATTTATCCTCAACCAGTTGTTTATCTCTACAGGTCCCAGTGCAGTCCTGGTTTGACAACATGGCAGACACGGAGCTGCTGGACCTGATTCCTCTGTTTGAGGACCTCAGTAAAGAGGATGACGTTTACAGCATGTTACAAAGCCTGAGGAACAGGTAGCAGATGGAGGTGACAGCTGCTCCTGTCGGCCTCAGCCCCAGCGCACAGAAGCCTCACCTCACTGTCGTGGCTCTGTAGCCTGGCTCCCGTCTTCTGAAAAGCCCTGGGAGCCCCAGCACAGCTCCCGACTAGAGGACCTCAGGCAAATTATCTGGTTATAATCAAATCAGAACATCTGTACGGATTCTTGCCATCTCTGCATTTTCAGACCCAGTACAGGACTCCCACTGTACATATTACTGTACATGCATTTCTAAGATCTAAACATGCATAAAGTAATTTTTCTATGAGAGAAAGGCGGATTTACTATTATATCAAGTAATATTTTAGTTACCAAAAATAAACAACTACACAGAACAAAGAGGGTTTTTTTTGCCAGATTGGGTGACCTTTTAGTTTTTGTGTTGCACTGTGCTATGCAGGCCATTGTTTCTCGTCTGACCTTTTGTTCAAACAACTGTGATTTATCTCCTCTTACAGAATGAAGTGCCTTCATTACTGTGCTGATTTTGTTGTGTCAGGTTAAGGGGGCGCATATTTTTATGCAGTATATTTACTCAAAAGCATAAGCAAAACCTTTAAATTGACATTTCAAAATAAGAACATTAGTAACGAGTAACTGTCATTTCATCTGCAAAGTATAATTCAGATAAGTTTGTAAAACTAACCTGTTAGACCTGGGTGCTCTTTCCTTTTAAGTTTAGTAACATTGAATTGTTAAATTTACCAAAGATTTTCTCAATTCAATGTAATTTGTGGCTCAGTGACATTATCTGAGCTTAGACAGTGACGGTAAATGAATGATTCTTCAAGAAAGTGAAAACAGGTTATATCGAAAACATGAACCCTTTGTGATGACATCACTGTCCACCAATAAATTTAAAACCTTTGAGGAAAATAAAATGATTAGCTCGGATTATTATTTTATTTATTGGAGAAAAAAATGCTTAGGTGCATTGTAAAGAAAGCTGTTTAAATTGTACTGTATAACATTATTAAAGTTGCAAGTTTGCACATTGTCACTTTGTATTGTGACGTAATGATTAACAAAACTTAAACTGCTGTTATCAGCATTTTTAGATTAACATTGAATCAAATGACTGCATATTTGCAAGGTGTTGCTTTACAAACAGCCTCTCCCTCCTCTGTTGTGTTTTTAAGATGCCACACTGAGAACAGTGCTGCAAATTTTACACTGCTTTCTCTTGATGTTAAATTCCAGCCTTAGTTCCCTCTGTCGCAGTGGCAGTAAATCAGGTGCTGAGGATTTTGTATATTTCCATTCTCTCCTCCCCGACTCCTTCCCCTGAACGAGAACATTTCAAATACATGTTGGATGAAACCAAACATGCAAATTCCTACTAGTGTCGTTTTTCTTCTGTTTCTCAGGTGCAAAACCTCTTCTTAATAAATATGAACACATACAATTTCATGGTTTAGCGCCAGAAAATTGAGTTTTTTTCATTGTTTTGTTTTTCTGGTTCACAACTTCATTGTTTTTGCTTTATTTGCACTGATTCTTTTTGTGTTATTTCCAAGACGCAGTGTTTTCTGCAAAAAAGTTCTAAAACCCATAGTTAGTCAATGTACCAAATAGCATTTGCCATATCAACTTAAAAGTTGAAAATATGTCAGTGTCGATTTTATAGGTTGCTTCTTCTGTTCAACCTGTTAATTCAGGCTTAAGTGACAGCTGTAAAATATTTTAGGGTGTATTTGGAGGCATTCATGTTAGAATTTAACTTTAAATTGTTGTAATTTTGATGTTAAAAAATGTTAAATTTCTTTCAACAAAAGCTGAATAACAGCAGAATAACATCCAAGTATATTGTGGTTTACTTTGTCAACTTTGTATTCAAGAGCAGTTCAATCATGAGCTGAACACCTGAATTTAAAAAAAGTCATAGCACGGTTCTTAGACAAAGGCTCAAGCACCACTGTTTGCATAACATGCACAACAATCTGCAGGTGCATTAACTATAGGGATATAAACTGGTTAATGTGCAACCAGGAGGAGCCTTTTCATGTGATGTCTTCATGTGAACTTTTAGCTTCCACTTACGTAGCAGCCACTTTAACTTCAGCAGAGGATTAAGCATTACTGAGCCTGTTGTTCCAGCCTGAAGAATTTTTGTCTTCTTATTTCTCACTTCTCCCTGAAATATGTGGGAACTGATGTTCACAGCATAGTTGAAATTATCTACTTTTCTTAAAGAAGTCTTGGATTGATCATAAATAAGTAATGTCGTGGTCAAAGGTAAGAAAGACTTGACACCTTGAGGTTGTTGGTTAACAGGAAAACTATGCATGATGTGTTTGTTGTGAGATTTATGCTGGATAAAGTGTAATATCCCTGCACAAAAGACATCAGCAAGAAGCCTGATTGCGATTTGTGCTTTGACTGCAACATGGCACAGATTTGACAGATTGTTTACATGATTTTGAGAGTTTACGATGACAGCAGAGGCAGGATTTGCCTATTTTGGTGGGAAAATGTAGGGCATTAATTGTTAAATTATTGCATGCAGTCGACATTTGCAGACTTAAGCAGAATTCTGAAGCAGGTTCTGTGACTTTCTTGAAGTGAGGTTGTCCTGAGCTATAAAAGCAATGAACCCACATTTCCTTTTCTTGTATCATTACATAAAATTCAGTCTTCCACTATGGATTAACAAAAGGGCTCTTACTTTCTGTTACTTCAAAAAATGTTCAAATCGCTTTGTGTGTTGACACTTCTCCAAATTTAAGAAATACGCTGCCAGAGTCTGCTCCCGATCAAAGGCCAGAGCTGAAAACCTTCAATAATGTCAAGTGTTCCTGAGTGTCTGTGTGAGTGGGCACAGAATGAGAGAGTTAGCCACATAACGCCTCCGACTCCTTTCCAGTACATTTGGACTTCTTTGACTCCACTTCCCCCCATCTGCTAGTTGTAGCAGCTGTGAGATGAATAATTTGTGTCAAGTGGCCCTTGTAATGCCTATTGTGCTGCTGAGCGCTCAGCAGAACATAAACACATCTCTGACTGGCCACTTGAGTGAGACTTGAGTCCATCTCAATCCAAGAATTGTAGATGATTTTCTCAACCATTTTGATTTTGTAATGCCTTTTGCAAGTCTTGCACCCCTCACCCAAGATGCTCCTTATTAAAACCTGGAACCAGACAGAGAGGAGGCGGATTTATGGCCGTGGTTTACAAATATGGCAACAGGAAATTGCAGATGTGTTCAAACCTGGGTGTGTAGGCAAATATGACGAACCTTCGCTCTGCCACACACACTCCAGTTTGCACACGGGAGGAAACGGCAGCAATACTTTCTCACATAAAGACATCATCTCTCTAATCTACCTTCGCAACTTGCAGGAGACAACGAGGCCCTCACTCCACCAGACACAGCACAAGGTAAGCGTTTATTTTGGTAACAATTTTACCCAAATAATTTTTCTAAATACTTTTTAACATGTGTCTGTTAAATGCTTTTACTTTGTGAAAGCATTTAACAGAGA